ACCGAGTACCACCTGCTACAAGCCCTGCTGTCTTGCAGAGTGTGCTCTTCTTATGCAAAGGCTAGGAGAAATAAACTCCGACTAAAAATTTCCCTATCTTGGGGCTTTTGGTTGAGTAAAGGCTAGAGATGGTGTCTCGATATAAACACTCATCTTGGGCAGATGTTAACTGCATCCAGCTAAACATCCCCTGCTTTTGGGCTCTTGGTTGAGTAAAGGCTAGAGATGGTGTCTCGATAAAAATACTCATCTTGGGCAGATGATAACTGCATCCAGCTACTGTCTTGTAGAAAACCTCCTAGGCAAAGACTTTAGGGGTAAGCAGAAAAATTCTGCTAACCAGCCTCGAACCCTTTCTTTATCTATTAGGCTAACGTAGATGTAACCTGCGTTACATTGTTTTCTGCCTAAGATGATGAATGCTGGATCTTCTTGACTCTACTCATAGAATTTTGCTTATGCCTCCTTGATAATGGCTATGCAACTCTTCTTGTTATCTCCATATAAGGGTACAGCTCTAAAACTCAGTTTAATGGTTCTGAGGCCGGCTTATAGTAAGGTTTCCCGAACTCTGTGGTAGCTTTCAGAGAGGCTGATTCCATCAACAGCTGCAAAATAACAGAGTATTAACAGTGCCAGGTTGCGCACGGATGGTGTCCCTGTTAATGCTTTTGGCGTGCATTGTCAAGGCCGCATAAGGAGCCCTATGTCACGGCTTAGGATTAATCAACAGGACTGAGACAACTGCATAGCTCATTGATAAGGAGGCTGTGCTCTATCTATGAACGAGTCAAGTTCTCATTAAACCCAAATCATGACCAAAGTAACCAAAAATTTAAAACCTAAAAAACCATCTCCACCACCTAAATATTTTAATATATCTTTTACAAATATTCGCGGTCTACGAAGCAACATTCCGTCAGTTAAGTCTTACCTCCTGCAAAATTCACCAGACTTGCTTACACTCAGTGAAACAAATTTAAATTCTGCAATTCCTTCTTCAGATGTCAGTGTTGATGGGTACTATCCTTTGATTCGTAAAGACTCCAATAGTCACATGATAGGTTTAGGGGTATACATACGCATTAATTCCCCTATTTGTAGTGAAATCAGGTACGAATCCTTTGACCAATCTTTTATGTGCTTTCGCCTAGCATCTCTTCACTCTATCACCTTTCTCTTTGTTCTTTATCGTTCTCCTTCTTCCCATGATTGCACTCTCTTAGATGTTATCTCTGATCAAATTGACCATGCCCTCTCTCTTTACCCCTCTGCCAATTTTGTTGTTGTTGGTGATTTTAATGCCCATCACTCTGAATGGTTTGGTTCTAACACCACTGATCCTGCTGGCACTAAAGCCTTTAACTTCTGCGTTTCTCAATCTCTTACTCAGATACTCAACTTTGTGACTCGTTTTCCTGACAACCCTAATCATCTACCTTCACTCCTTGACTTATGTCTTGTCTCTGACCCTAGCTTATGTTCAGTTTCTCCCTTTTCTCCCATAGGTGGTTCTGACCATGCAATGATCTCTATAAATCTTTGTTCTCGTACTTCTTTTTTGGGCTCACCTTATCATCGCACCACCTACTACTACCCTAAAGCTGACTGGGATTCCTTTCTTGATTTTCTTCGTGATGGTCCTTGAGCTGATGTTTTTTTCTCTTTCAGCTGACAAATGCGCCTCCTACGTAACCTCTTGAATTCAGGCTGGAATGGAAGCTTTTATTCTTTCGCGTCGGTTTCAAGTCATACCTCATTCTACTCCATGGTTTTCTCCTTCTGGTGCGGCTGCTATATCCAACCGTAATCATTTTTTTTATCTTTTTCAAAAGAACAACTCTCTTGAGAACAAACGGCTACTTATTATTGCAAGAAATAGATGAAAAAAGGTGCTTTCTGATGCTAAACTCCATTATTCTCAGTTCACTAAATCTCGCATCTTATCGCAGAAGTTAGGCTCTAAAGACTTTTGGAAAATCTTCAACAGCATTATTAACAAGGGTAGATCTAGGATTCCATCACTCATTCATGGGACTGATCTTATTACCTATACCAAGGATAAGGCAGAAATTTGCAAAGAACTTTTCTTCTAATTCCACTCTTGAATCTTATGGACATTCTCTTCCTTCCATTCCAGTCAAACAGGTTGACCCATTGTTAGACATTCAAATCACTCAGCTTCTGTTGCTAAAGTCATATCTCAATTAAACTTGTCTACAGCTTGTGGTTCAGACAACATTCCTGTCACAGTCTTGCAGAATTGTTCTCCAGAACTTTCTTCAATTCTCTCTAAACTATTTAACAAGTGTTTGACTGAGTCTTGTTTTTCAAAAACTCTGGAGAAATTTCTGACCCCTCCAATTATCGTCCGATCAGTCTTCTTTCTGTTATTAGTAAGGTCTTTGAGTCTTTGATCAACAAAGTCCTCACATCTCATGTTGAGTCAAATAAACTACTGTCAGACAATCAATACGATTTTTGACCCTCTCGCTCTTCGGCCGACTTGCTAACTGCTGTAACTGAAAGATTTTATCGTGCATTAGATTGCATTTATAGTGCATTATTATACGTGCATTTATAGTGCATTAGATTTTATCGTGCATTAGATCGTGCATTGGAGGCGGTGAGGCTACGGCTATTGCTCTCGACATATCTAAAGCTTTCGACAAAGTTTGGCATGCTGTTCTTCTCCATAAGCTTGCTTCATATGGTGTTTCTGGGAAAGTTTTTGAGATTATTAAATCATTTCTTTATTAGAGTCATCTTTGAAGGCCAACACTCTTTTTTATTTATAGTAACTTTTAGGGTTCCTGAAAGTTCCATCCTGGGCCCTGTTTTGTTTCTTATCTACATAAACGATCTTACTGACAACTTTTCATCTAAAGTAGCTCTTTTTGCTGATGACTCAACTTTTTACTCCTGTCTTAACAAAAAGTCTTCTCTTTTCGATCGCCTAGAACAAGCAGCTGGTCTTGAATCCGATCTCACTTCATTAATAGATTGGGGTTCACAGTGGCTTGTGAATTTTAACTCTAAAAAAACTCAGTTGCTTACTGCAAACAACTACCGTAATATGGTCAACATTACTATATTAATGAATGGCAATCCTCTTACTGAGTCCTCCTCTTTACGTCTTCTTGGATTATCGCTTACTACTGACCTTTCATGGAAACCATATATACAATCAATTGCTAAATTAGCTTCTGCTAAGGTTGCTTCTTTTTATCGTGCTCGCCATTTCCTTACTTCTGATTCCATTCTCTACCTCTACAAATCTCTTATTCGTCCCTGTATGGAATACTGTTGTCATATTTGGGCTGGTTCTTCTAACGACTCACTTTCTTTTCTTGACAAGGTCCAAAAACGCATTGTAAATGTTGTTGGACCTGGACTATCTGCTAAGCTTGAACCTCTTTCCCATCGTCGTAAAGTTGCATCTCTTTCTCTTTTCTACAGATACTATCATGGTCACTGCTCAAAGGAGTTATCATCTCTAGTTCCATCAACTAAAATTCATTCTTGTTTTACTCGTCATTCAGCTAAGTCTCATTCTTTTAATGTATCTGTCCCAGCATGCTCTAAAAACTTATATTCATCTAGTTTTTTTCCCCGCACTTAAATCCTTTGGAACTCTCTCCCATTTTCATGTTTTCCTCACTCATACAACCTTCAACTTTGCAAGTCTTCTGTCAACCGTTTCCTTGCTCTACTAAGTTGGGAGTTACTAGGAAAAAAAAACTAGTTAGGAGTTACTAGGAAAAAAAAAAGAACTCTGTTCTTTTTTTATTTTTCCTAGTAACTCCCAACATAATAGTAGTTGCTTGCAGCCTTGTTGGAAGTGAATGCAAATAAAAAAAAAAATATATATATATATATATATATATATATATCTTCTTTATGTATCTATTTATAGGTATGCTTTATGTGACTATGTAAAGGTGGCACACAGTTAAATTAATATAAAAGTGTTTAGTAGTTGTTAATTTTTCCAGCTAAGTGTTAAAGAAAATATAAAAATACCTAAAACAATTTCTTCGATGATGATTAGATATATATTGAACGTCATTTATATTTGGATTGCCTAAAGAGAGTTGAATATAAAAAAGGTATGTTTAGTGCATACGGAAAGACATATTTCGTATGTCTTACGGGTATAATGGCAATCAAAAGTTGTGAAAGAAGTTTAAAGCTTTAATAAACGTATATTTAAAAAGCCAACCAACAGTATTGATTATTTTAACCAACAGTATTTGATTATTTTAATAATACTAAATAAACTAATAATAATATACTAGTAACTCACAGAAAACTACAGTACCAGAAACATCTGTTTTATCAACATTGCCTATAGTAGCTTCTGAATAATATTAATTAATATAATGTCTGGTCGAATCCTTTCAACCTATGCCAAATGTTCCAAGGTTTTCTTCTAGGAAATATTTAAATAGTTCTACCTTTCTCTTTTATTATGGCTTAAAATGATGTGACACGTTTTGAAACGTTCTGGGCACTATACGTTCACAGGAGCATTTTCTTTCATACTTTGTGTGAAAATAGGACATCTAATTCCATTTATGTTTCCTGAGAGTTTTTATAACAAAAAAATGATTATTCAAAATACTAAAGAAACATATTACATTACAAATTATCTTGTCCCATACTTCAATAACCTAGTTTTAAAGGCGGTCCTTATCTCTTTAAAGTTGTATGTTTTGATGAGCCTTGAATAAAGTTGTCCCAAAAACGAATGCGAAAACCCGTTTCATCAAAAAAGTCGAATGGATATTTGCATTGGTTATTGGGATGTTATTTGCAACTATTTAATTACAGGATACGTTTCATCATTGTTTCTCGATCATTCATCTGCAAATATACTTTAATAAAGTTTTACATGTGTTTTAAATGAATATCTTCAAACCAAAATTTACAAAGTTCTATGGAGAAACCAAATGTGAACTTGAAATTTATGATATTCTCAATGAAAAACCTCATAAAAAAACAACTATTCTTGAAATTAAATCCTGAGATTTACAAAATGTACATGGCGCATTTCGCGCGGGTCATAGATAAGGCAAAATAGATTATTAATGAAACACGTAAGAGTTTTCTATAAACTTTTTTAAGATAAAAACTATTATGAAAAAGTTTATAAAATTTGATAATCTGCTCGTAGAGCATATTATAAAACAATTTGTTAAAGTGATAAATTTTCTCTTAGATTTTGTTAAAAAAAAAATGTCCCGGTATTATAAAAGCTTTAGATATTTATGATTTATACTATGAAAACCTTAACAACGACGTGATTAAAAACAGTTTGCGAAATTACATGGTCCAATATATGTAAAAACATGGCAAATGTCTAGATCTAACGTTGATCAATTTATAGAGATTAGTATTGATCAAATTAATATGGATCAACGTTGACTAAATGTATATTACCCCATTGTATATGGATTAACGTTGATTCAATCTTGATAACCAAACGTTAATCCAATGTGTATGGTTATATACGTTGGATCAACGTCGCTCCATAAATATAAAATCCAACGATAAATCAACTTAACACATAGCGTTTCACCAACGTACAAATCAACGTTGACCAACGTAAAATATCACCCAATCCGACTTAAAATACAACATTTGGCCGACGTTGTGTTTTAGTTGTTGGCGACGTTGCATATGTATCCAAAATGATATAAAAACATTTTTTTATCAGTTCAGATGTTTAAGTAGAAAGTTTGTACGAAATTTATGTGGTTGCCCAAAGGCAAAAACATGGATTGAAGTTACTACGTTTGTGAAGTTTGCAATGTGAAAATAACAAGATCAATGATAAAAATTGTACACATGTCCTTTTCATATTAGAAAGACTCATTAAAGCGAAAAAGAGATGAAACGCTGCAAAAAGAAAAAGAAGCAGTGCTAATTTTAATCAATCAGGTATTGATAAAAACTATCTTTGCAGAAATTTAAAATGTTATATGCTTTATCAAAAGCTAAATCAAAATCATCAGGAAGATATATGTGAGATTGAACTAGAATTAAAAATACTATTACGCAAAATGGAATAAACAGATATATTTTGTGTTTAATAATATTAAACAAAATTAATAATGTTAAACCTTTGTCAAAAACTTTTTTCATATATATATATATATATATATATATATATATATATATATATATATATATATATATATATATATATATATATATATATATATATATAATATATATATATATATATATATATATATATATATATATATATATATATATATATATATATATATATATATTAGTTTTTAAATTTTTATTAGGCTTTTGTTTGTTTTATTATTAGACTTTTTGTTGTTGTTTGCATAATTTTTTAAGTTTAATCTGCTCCGATGTTTAATTTTGTTTCAATTTTAAAATACTAGTAAAAACTTTACTTTAGTTCATACTCATAATATCGAAAGAGCTAAAGTTTAAATTACTATCATTTATTTCATAAAGTATAAAAATATAGAAAGAATAATAATTATAATCAACATTTGAAACGTATTTTTCAAAATATTTTTCTTACTAAAATCTCTGTTTTTATAATAAAAGCATTTACAAGAAAGAGTTGAAAATTTAAAAGTTTACACTTTAAAATATACCTGAATCAGGGATCAATATAATAAGTCAGAGACTTGATTGCACAAAGCGGCTGGCCATCTTGTGTTATTACTCTTCAAATTGTTATTACTATTATTATTATTCTATAGATAGGTTTGAAGATGCCAGTGAACAAAAGTTGAAAGAAAATAATTTGGTTGCAACTATGAGCCACTTAAGTTCAGAGTTTACAATTTCATTTCAGATAAAACCAACTTCCTATACGAAAGGATTTAATAGTGTTTTTTATTTTTTGCTGGATCGAGATTTAATTCCACAAGCAAATCACCAAATGGCAGCTTGGTTTGATCAGGATGGAACTGGACGGTTAAGTTTTTTTTTAACTTTATTAAATGTAACAATGTTTACCACTAATGATTCGCTTCCTTTAAAAAAATGGTCATCTATTAAATTAACTCGAACGAAAATCTCTTCTGAGAATAAAACTAACTTTAACATCTATCTGAATGAAAATCTTGTTTTCAATGATAAGGCAGGAGCAAAAACTTTTGAATTTGTTAGAGTTTTTTTTGGTAATCCATGGCAAAGTGTTCAAAAAGGCTACATTAAAGATTTGAAAATATACAATGGTAAGTTTAACTTTAACGTGTTATGACTTGATAATATTTAAGTTAAATTTTTGATTGTAATGATTATAATTGCTCCTTCAATTTAGTTTGATTTTCAATGATTTTCTTTTAGACTGATATGTTTTCAAAAGTTGAGTCAAGACTGTTGAAACTATCGAAACAACTACTCAGCTGATGTAACTTATTAAAAAAAAATTTCAAATAAGTTTTGCAAATTATATAATGTAAAACGCGTTACCCTCTGATATAGTAAAGTAATTAATAATATTTGAAATTTTATTTCAACTTATATTTGGTACTAGTTCAGCACTTACAATTTTTTTTTTTTATATTGTTACTTGCTTATGATTATAAAGTAATAATGTTTTTAAAGGTGATCTTTTACTCTGAGCAAATACATAAAAGTACAAGCTAAGTAAGTGAGATACGAGACGCCAATTAAAAGTTTTCAAAGCGTATTAGTATAATGACACAATTAAACCTAATCATTTGTATAATAGCTTAAGAATTGTCTCTATAAAATTTTTAAATGTAAAAGTATGTTTCTAAAGAATTAGCATAAGAGGATTTGAAAGTATGTTCACGCCTCCATCCTTACCAATTTTATAAAACATGCCCAAACGTTACGTTGAACCACGCATCTCTAGCTTCTGAGACAAGCGCACTAACCACAGCTTTAAGGCTGCTCAAAGTTTATTTATCCTATTATGTTTATTTATCCTTTTTTGATATACAATTAAAACAGTATCCTATCATGTTTATTTATTCTATCATGTTTATTTATTATTCATCATGTTTTTAGTTGTATCTTGAGATTATACTCTCACGTTGATAACTCGATGTCAAATTTTTATTTGCCAAAAAAAATTAAAAAGTAGACACTTTTATTATTATTATACCATTTTCCTGAAAAATATATTATTAAACACACTGCATTTAGCATATTTTGTTAGATGGCCTAGTTTTAGATATTATGTTTTGGTTTTAGATATTATGTTCTAGTTTTAGATATTATGTTCTGGTTATAGATATTATGTTCTGGTTTTAGATATTATGTTCTGGTTTTAGATATTATGTTCTGGTTTTAGATGTTATGTTCTGGTTTTAGATATTACGTTCTGGTTTTAGATATTATGTACTGGTTTTAGATATTATGTTCTGGTTTTAGATATTATATTCTGGTTTTAGATATTATGTTCTGGATTAAATAGTTAATCTTGAGCTGAAAATCATAAACCAATAGAATAACTTTAACCTAAAACAATAAAATTACCATATACACATTCATGTTTATTCGAAACAAATAAAAAGCGCAACATTATGAAAAGTGTTATCTCATTGGTATTTTAATAACAAATAATGTTTATTAAAACTAACATAAATAAAAACACATTCCCTATTTTTATATTTTCAATAAAATATTTTGAAATGATATAAAATCCATGTCTAAAGTATATATTACTATAATGAATAAAAATAGTCTGAAGTGAAGATATAATCGAAATGGAAAAGAATTTTCATAAAAAAACTTTCATCATTATTAAAAAAAAAAATTGTAAATATTTTTTAATATAAAGCCAGTACAAACTTTTTACGTAAAATAGCGCGTAATTTAATTTAACGGAAATATCCGTTTTATTTACGTATATTAACGTTTAGTTTAATAAATGATTTTTTTTGTTAAATTACAACGGCTTTTTTCTCTTAAATGGGAGGTTTGGTCATAGCAGCTGGGGGAAATTTTCCGTAAATAAACGGATACTTTCGTTATTAATAAAAAAGTTTTTCCCGTTAAACAACAGTAAAGTGCAGCAACGCAGAATAGTTGCCGTAAATAAAAGTGATTAAGAATTTCCGTAGTTCATTTTTCCGTAAATAAAATCTAAATGTTGCAGGTTATATTCTGTTCATATGATAAATTAAAATAAATTATTCCTAGCTAATGTTTTAGATATAAGATCGATTGTATGTTTTTGAAAATTTTATCAGAAAACAAACTTTCTTTGATTTACCTAAAAAATATTAAACTTTCGTTGATTTACATTTTACTTTAACAGCAAATACACGAATAAATAATTAATTAGTAAAGTAACAAACAATTAAAAAAGAAAATTTTAACAATTTTGATAAAGTCTAAACAGACACATAATAATATAATTATATTAGATATGTCTATATATATTTAAAATAATAAATGAAATCATTGAAAAAAATGTATTTCTTAAAAAAGCTATTATTTTTTAAAAAGTTATTATTTGTCTTCATTTTTGAATTAAAAACCAAAATATAATAACTAACTTAAATCCTTTTTTGCCTTATGCAGAATATCTACTTTGACACCCAAGTAGCAAATAATATTGGCGCGATCTTGTCTATAGTATTGGCGCAATATTATAAACTATATCGCGCCAATATTGGAATGTGAACATTTTGCCAATATTGGCTAATTTTGGCGCTACATTATTGCGCCAATATTGTTTAGTTAATATTGGTCAATATTGGCGATAGAATATTGCGCCAATAATGTAAAGTCAATATTGGCCAACATTGGAAATATGTTCACATAGCAATATTAGCGCAAACTTTTAAAATACTGAGCTAATATTGTAAATAATATCGCACCATTTATGGGGATATAATACTGGTAAATATTGGCGTAATATAGTTTACAATATTATCCTGATATATAAAATAAATATAACTATATTAAGGCAATGGATCCCAAGTAGCAAACAATATTGGCGCAATATTGGGGCAATATTGTCTACAATATTGGCGCAATATAACAAACTGGATTGCGCCAATATTGCAATGTGAACATTTTGCCAATATTGGCCAATATTGGCGCAACAATAGTGCGCCAATATTATTAATTCAAAATTGGCCAATCTTCGCCGTACAATGTTGCGCCAGTATCGTTAAGTCAATTATCGGCCAATATTGGCAAAATGTTCACATTGTAATATTGGCGTAATAATATTTCAAATATTGCGCCAATATTGTAAATAACATCGCCCCCGTAATGCGGATATAATACTGGCCAATATTGGCGTAATATAGTTTACAATACTATCCCAATATAACTATATTAGGCCAATGTATTGAGTATTTTCGATTAAATTTGTATTATTAAAAAACAATAAAAAATTTTGTCTTCTACAAATTTTTAACAATTAAAATTTATAACAGTTTTTTTTGTTTAAATAATACTAAATTGCTAGGCTGCATTATTCTTATGAGTGATAGTCAAGGAGATGACAATGACCATAAAACACGTTTTAAGAAAAAAAAATTGTAAACCATTAAAGTTATATGAAACAGATACAAGTGAAATAAAGAGGTATGAAGTGCTACAAAACCAAAATATAACAAAAAAAAATCAATGCTATGTAAATACAAGCACTAAAAATATGTATATATATATATATATATATATATATATATATATATATATATATATATATATATATATATATATATATATATATATATATATATATATATATATATATATATATATATATATATATATATATATTGTTGTTGTATGATGTAGTATTAAAAATACTAAACTCTTGATCGTTGAATAGTGCTCAATATTTAAGAAATATTTAGTTTATAATAAGTCGACACATCTTTATGAAAACGCACAAAAGCAATCGGGATATGATTATAAGTTCGCATATAAACTAAGCATAACAAATGTTCCAAAAAATCACCACAAACGAAGTATAATCTGGTACAACCCTCTATTTAGTAAAAATGTTACAACTAAAATTGGTCAACGCTTTTTAACCCTAATTGACAAGCATTTTCCTAAAGACCACAACCTACACAAAATATTTAACAGAAACACTATTAAAGTAAGCTACTCCTGCATGCCTAACATTAAATCTATCATCAACTCACCCAACAAAAATATTTTATATGGTGATGTAAAGTTATCACAAAAATTCTGCAATTGCATTAAAAAATATCTTTGTCTACTGAACAACAATTGCTTGTCTAACAATATTGTTTACCAAGCCACCGTAAGCTCAAATAAACCTCAATACCAAGATAAGGTATACTTTGGGATAAACAAAACCTCTTTTAAACTACGTTATACAAACCATCTAAAATTCTTCAACATAAAAAAAGTACAAGAACGACACTGAGTTATTTAAGGCAGTATGGGATTTAAAAGATAACAATTTTACATCTTCAATCAAATGGAATATAATTAAACGCGGTAAATCATGCAATCCTGCGTCAAAAATTTGTAGGCTTTGTTTAAATGAGAAATTTGAAATATTACAAAAGAGATAATCTGCTACAGAAATTTGAAATTTTACAAAGGAGATAATCTGCTAAATAAAAGAGGCGAAGTAGATTGTAAATGTAGACATAAAAATAAATTTCTTCTTTCATTATTTGATAGCGAAGATTAGTTTTCCATTACATCTTCTTGTACTAAGACGTCAGAGCTCATTCTACTGTAGTTTGTAATTTTTAAACGGTTTATTATATTTTTGATTTTGTACTTCATGGCTGATGATCGCCGATAGGCACGAAACTTTAAGTTCCAATTAAAAGTTGTTTTTTCTATATTTAAGTATATATATATATATATATATATATATATATATATATATATATATATATATATTATATATAATATATATATATATATATATATATATATATATATATATATATATATATATATATATATATATATATATATATATATATATATATATACATGGCCTACTTTATTTATACGGCCGGATATTTTACATTTTGAAGAAAGAAATAGAAGGCCAGTTTTTAAAATCGTAATGTTTCAAAAATTTAATACGTTTTGAACATTTTCAATATTATTTTTCTTTCTACATTTAAAAAGTCCATAAAAGTTGTATTTTTTCATAATTTTAGATACTAAACGAACATTTATTAAGAAATAAATAGTGTTTATTTTAAAATTTAGTATTAGTAAAAACGATGTAAGAAACAAGAACAGTTATAAAAAATATTTAAATGTTTCTCTTTTTTCATTTAAAAATAAAATAATTATATATAATTTATTAAATTTTCTCAAATTTTCTCTTTTTAAAAGATTATACATGATCAACAGCTACTTCACTGGTAGAGATAATTCTTTTATTATTAAGAAAAATGTTAACAACAATTCTTCCAGCAAGTTTTATCCCAGTTTTCTCATGCATGGGACAAGAAAAAGTCTGAAAAGAGTCATAAAAGTGGTTTAACAAATATTCTAAAGCT